CGGGTGGGAGGTAGGCTGCAAAAATTCTGACTTGTCATTCAATGCTAAGCATCCCATAATTATACCAGGTCAACACAGGATTGCTTTGTTGCTTGTTAAACAATATCATGTAACTTATATGCATGCAGGGCCCAGTTTACTAGCTAACATTTTAAAGCAAAGCTATTGGATTGTAAATGGTAAGAAACTTATTCAGTCTTTTATCCATAAATGTATTGTTTGTCACAGATATAAATTGTCATCTAATAATCAGTTAATGGGAAACTTGCCAAAACAAAGAGTAACACTTGAGAGACCATTTTTTAGCACAGGTATTGATTATGCCGGTCCTGTAATTTTGAAATGTTACAAAGGTCGTTGCTTTAAGACCACTAAAGGTTATATAGCTTTGTATGTCTAGCTACCAAAGCTTACCATATTGAGGTAGTTAGCGACTTAACTGCAGATTCTTTCATTGCTGCTCTTAGGCGATTTGTATCGAGGCGTGGTACACCTCGATACTTATTTTCGGATAATGGTACGAACTTTGTTGGCGCAAAAAGAAAATTGTCCGAATTGCAAACTCTGCTACTTTCACTTAACAGCAATGAATTGATTTTAAATTATTTGGCTGAAAATACTATGGAATGGAAAATGATTCCACCTGCTTCTCCCCACTTTGGTGGTTTGTGGGAATCAGGGATCAAGTCCATAAAATTTCATTTGAAAAGAATGATAGGAGAGACAAAGTTAACATTTGAAGAATTAACTACTTTACTAACTCAAATTGAAGCTGTGTTAAATTCACGCCCCTTATCTAAAACTAATCACAATGATGTAGGTAATTTAGATGCTTTGACTCCATCACATTTTTTAACTGGGGATGTTATTACTAGCATCCCAGAACAGGATTTTTCTAATATTCCCAAACCCACTTTATTAAAACGATGGGAATTATTACAGCAACAAATGAAACAAGGCTTTTGGAAGAGATATTATAAGGAGTATTTAAATTCCTTACAACAAAGATACAAATGGAAGCAACAACTTCCAAATTTGTCTGTAGGTGATATTGTATTAATTAAGGAGGACAACATGCCTCCTGGTGTTTGGCCTTTAGGTCGCATTGTTGAAATCCATCCAGGAAAGGATGGCAATGTTAGAGTTGTTACAGTAAAAACTGTTAATGGTTATTTTAAAAGACCTATAGTAAAACTTTTACCATTGCCATTGCATCGGGAATGATCTATTGTTAATGCAATGGCAAGGGTGGGAGTTAATGTTGGATGCATATTTAATATTTGCATTTCTTTTTTTTCTTTGTATATTTTATTTCCTCACTGCTTAATTTTATGTTATGATTTTTGCAATAATCTTGTTACTGGCAACGTGCTTTATTTACTATTAAGTTTGTGTGAGTGGCAACAGTTGTTCATGTTTATGTTTCAGTAGAATAGCGTTCTTAGCCGCACTGCGCTGCAGGCAATTTTTCTCTTAAATATTTCATCTTTTAGAATAACAATAAAGTTATTATACAAAGCTGATGCTTTTTAGTTCAAGGCAACTAAACTTATTTTCAAAACGGATATCTTTCTACATAGTTTACAAAACTATATGTTAAATACTTCTTTTAAATGAAATGGGGTTGGAGAGAAACATATAACAAAAATCTGCTCTCAAAAAAGTTAAAAGCTGAAGGAAGTTTATTGCCTTGAAACAAATCTGTTGACATGAACCTGGATTGCAGAACATGATATGTCAGCCGCCACATAAGCGTACCATCTCTGTAGGCTACCTAGCTATTGCCTACAAAGATTGTTACTCTGACATTGACCTCAATAAAGAAGGCACTAGCATGTATTTTATGTATGCAAATGGCAAACATGAATCCCATAGAATTTCTGATGCAGAAATTGCCTTAAATTACACCTGCAAACTGCAAACTGGTAGCTACCAAGGGTGCTTTGGATATTTTTCACTCCAAAGCAATTCAGAATTCCAGTGGCATCATAATTTATCAGATTCTAAATCTGTGCTCCAGGCGATCCCGAGGGGAAATTCTCAACTTGCTCAGAACATCGTTGTACTCATATGCTTATGAATACAATAAAGCTATCCAAAAGCCTGCACTCTACAGTGAATTCCAGCACACATCAATATTTCTGGTATTGAGCAGGCCGACTACCTCGCCAAAGAAGCCTGAAATGGCACTCAACATTACAGCAGTTTAACCTGGTACACAATTTTCTCTAATACACATCTTTAACTGTTCTACTATACAAGCCAGGCTCTTCAGAATTGTTTCCCCTCCCTCAAGTGTCTGCTCCTATATTCTTAGAGGATAGTCGACGTTGCTTGGGCTGTTTTAGATACTTTTAGCCCTATTTAATCTTTCTGAATTAACTTCTGGACAACAACAGAAGAAGATTTTAAAAATTATGCATGTCAAAATAAAATTGCAGTTTAGTACCTTAACTGCACTTAACTTTTTAATGAATGGTCTTTCCTTCTAACAATGGCTTAATGCGAAATCAATTAGAATCATTCCATTACAAAATTTCCTCATAAAAGTCACACCTTATACTGAGATTACTGCATTTCTTACGTTCAGACCCCCTAATAATCTGCACTGTTTGTTCTTTCAAAGCGAAGCAAAATTAAGCTTGACATGAATTTATTCATAATTTTAAATATTTTTCTTTGTTAAAATCAGAAGGACATATACTGTAGTTCATAACTATTAAATAAATTTAAATGATTGAATATAACATGCAGATTGGTCCACAAAGTTTTACAAATACACTCATGGACAAAAAAATTAGAGCACCAAGAAGGAGTCGTCAAAATGAAACAAAATTTTGCATTTGTAATGACTACTTTGATATAAGTAAATGATAAGAAAATCAAGGGAAAAGGATAATTTACTTCAGAGAAAAAGGCAAAAGAATACTCCGTTGGACCCCCTCTAGCGCGAATGCACAATGCGATACGATCGGGAATTTAGTCATAAAAGTTCTGTATGATGTCTTGAGACATTTCATTCCATATTTGCTGTAAACTTGCCTCTAGTTCGTTCAAACTCGTGGGATGCCCAACTCGTCGTCCCAAATGATTCCAGATATGCTCGATTGGAGACATATCTGGGGATCGGGCAGGCCAAGGAAGGGTAGTAACAGTGTGGAGACAGTCTTTTGACAACCTTGCCGTATGAGGCCGAGCATTATCTTGTTGAAAAATGGCTCCTGGGAGCCATTGCTTGAGTGGCAATACATGTGGTTGCAGGATTTCATGAACATACCGCTGGGCTGTCATGGTGCCACGGAACAATACTAGGGGTGACCGTGTATTGTAGGCAATGGCAGCCCCATACCATCACACCAGGTGTGGGAGCGATGTGTCGCTGTACAGCAAAGGCAGGATTGAGGCGTTCACCACGGGCTCTCCACACACGAAACACGATTGTCATCACTGCCGAGATTGAATCTGGATTCGTCGCTAAAGACGACCTGGCTTCCATTCCGAAATTGCAGTCCAGTTTCTTCAGTGCTCGAACACCACTCCAAACGGAGGCGTCGATGGGTGGGCATCAAAGTACAGCACACTTGAATGAGGCGCCGCGATACCAACTGTCCTTCAGAGCCAGGAGCCTTCGTATGGTTCGAGAAGACACAGGGGCACCTAGTGAAGGTGTTGCCTGTGCCTGGATGGCGGCTGATGAAGCAGTTGGCTGTACGCGTGCATTTCTTAAGATTTGGTGGTGCTCTTAACGACTGGTCTGTCGAAGGCATCCTGAGCCTGGTCTTCGTGTACATGAATGACATCTCTCGGGTCCACTAATCCCAACACCTCTTTACAACACATTTAGAGCGGCCTAATTGACGAGCTACTTGCCTAGATGACCACCCAGCTTCCATCATCCCGATGATTCTCCCCCTCTCAAACTTCAACAACTGCTCATATTGTCTTCGAACACGGCGTAATGGCATGTCTACCTCAGCTCTTCCTTTGTAAATAATTCAGCACACTCAAACAAGCTTTGGTTATCTGTTTTATACTCCACAGAGTACGATGTTCAACGCCCTCTATCGGCTATATGTAATGCACAATCATGCTGCATTTCTAATCATTTGCATATCTGCCCAACATGTACCTTCACTGCAAGTTTCGTTACGATCCCGCATTTATTTCTTGGTGTTCTAATTTTTTTGTCCATGAGTGTATTTTGTTTAGAAACATTAATGCAAAAGATATTACACCTTTTACATGTTTACTGTCCTTATTTACTACATACTCCACTGCTCAGAGATAACAAATATTGTGAATATTTCTTCGATTCAAAGAGTTTCCACCTTACATTGCATGACATAATTACAGTAGGTTTTTCTATTAGTCCTTCCATATACATAATTTTTTTTGGTTTGTTTGTTTCAGTATTTTTACTTTTTATTGTTGAGAATAAAATGTCAATCTTAATTGAAATATAAAGTAATATATTTTAAAAATGAAATCTTTTTTGAAAAATAAAATACAATAATATACAAAACAAGCACACACACACACACACACAAAAAAAAAAAAAAAAAAAAAAAAAAAACTACATGAATTCCAGTTAGTCCAGATATTTGAACTGTTAGGCTCATATCACATATGCACTTGTTTCATACGAACAACTGTTACAGATAATTTTTCTGCCTGGTTCACTATTGAAAGAAAAACGCGCAATTTTTTCCTTCCTTTCAAAAAAAATTGCAAATTGTTCGTTTTTAACAAATCAGCTTGTTTGTAATGGAGAATGGTGATTGGCTGTTGTGACAGAGCAGAAAAATTGCTCCAAACAGTTGTTTTTCCGAAATAAACGGATGTGTGATAGCAGTCTTATAATCATCACAAGCTCTACTGAAAAACTAACTTAATAAAAATTTAACACTATATACTTATTTACAGGCTGTTTTGTCATTACACAAAGTTAAAAATGAGACTGAACCCCAATATAAATAAGCAAGATAATGAATGCTACTTACTCAACTGAAACTGTATTTTTAGAAGCATTTGGCACAACTTCTGAATGAATCTGGAAAAATATATATATAACTAATTTATTTCCAAAAATGAATTTTAGAAATCCAAATAAAGTCCTAAACTAGTAAGAATTACAGTAACAGATGTAAAAGAAGGATACCAACTTTAAGCGATCTATATAATAAAAAAGAGCTATATATTTCTAGAACATATGCTGTCAATCTTTTTCCATGAAGGTAAATTTGGCAGCTATTCTGCCAGCTCCTCAATGAGTTTAGAATAAAAAGAGGCACTGTACAGCAAAGTGAACTCAAAGCTACAATACTACTCTTATCATTGCTTGTCGAGAGTAGTTATCTTTATTACATTAATACAAAAATTTAATACTATTTTGCATTGTAACTTAAGTTATTACTTAAAAATCCACTAAAACTATATAACTGTAATAAGTAAATTTCAGCTGTTGTCTAGCAATAACATGTTACCCATGCAGTTTAACTCTTTCGTTGGTGTGAGATTACGGAAGTCTGTCTCCCCAAATATACATGAGAGCTGTCAGTCATAAATTTGTAATGCAAGCTGGTTCATTTGCGCTCCCCGTATGTAACTGGAATGTGAGTTGAGCTTCTATTAAAAGGTTAATAATAAGCAAATAGAGTTCAACTTAATAACTGGCATATATAAGAGAGAATTTATTGCTGACTGCAGTTTCAATGGACCACAGTCCAGTTTTACTAAAACATTGCTGTTACAGCAATGAACACAGTAAAAACTATAGTGCTTGATAGCAGAAACTGAAGTGTTTGGGCAAAAGAAAGATGAGGCTTAGAACAGCAGGATCTCAACAAAAATTGCATTATTCAAGAGACTATCCAGCAGGAAAATTTTGGAAGCTGGTAAAAAAATTCAACCTGGGATATGAATTAATGCAAGCAATAATTCAACATTCACTTACATATACATCTTCTTATATTTTCCTTACCTTAAAGTAGAAAATATAATCTCACACCATTTATTGAAGAAAATGGAAATAATAATAATTACACAAAATAAGAACTGGAAATGAAATCATTGATGACCTACAAAAAATTAATTCATCATTTAAACTTTCTAAATAATTTTAGCTGAAGGTCACTACAACTATTAATAGCAATTTATTTTCTTCTGATACAAGATTCATAGGCTTTAATAAGCAAAATTTTAAACCATCTGACTTAAGTATGTTAAATCACTCAGATAATGGATGCTGTTAATTTCTTAATAACTCAGATTTTAGACATGATTTTATGCAAATGAATCATTACATATAAAATAAGAATAAAAACTAATTATTAATAAATAACACTCAATCAAAGTAATCACTTACATACTGAGTGCAAATAATTTTAACAAAAGATATTTTATACATAATTAAATGTTTCTGATAAAAAACTTACTTCTCTAACAAAGTTAAAAAATCTTTCAGCTGTATTTCTTCTAAGTGGAATAAAATTTTCGCTATCAAGGACAGACTCATTTAAAACCTATGAAAACAAATAATAACTTTAAAAATAACAAATTAATTTTCTTATTTCTAACTTCCAACATATTAACATTATACATGCTTAAATTCAAATTTATGGATAGCCTATTTCACAAAATATTCAACTGTAAAATGAAAAAAAAAAAAAAAAAAAAAATTGAATAATATATAAAAAAAGTATGATAAAAATACACAGTAATAAAAAAATACCAAATACCACATTATTACAAAATTTCAGACAGTTTACTATTACTAAATTAACCTGCTATAAAATAAAAGGTGGTTTTTTTTTTTTTTTTCCTTTTCTTTTCTTTTGGGGTAATCTTTGAAATGCTACTTTCATTTAAATATCAAACAGCAAAACACTATTTGTAAGATAACAAATGAATGTTTAAAAAAAAAAAATTATAAAACAATCTATAAAAATTTTAAAATATTTAATTATCAATTGCATTAACATTTACAAACTATATGATAAAAATTTTTTAGGGTTTGTTTAACCTTTTCGCTGCATATCCCACAATTTCCACGGGCAACAGAGAAATAGCAAAATTTGCGCAACCGACGATTCCCGCAGGCATTTTTTATGTCTTTTTAACTGTGCAACACTCTTTTCCCGTTCATGGTTTTATTTCGGTTTTTCTGTGGTGTTTAATTGTTTATTCAGATCTGGGTTAACAGTGTTAGTTGTCCATATTTCTGTGAAATATACAAGAATATTTTACACCATTTTATATGCTCTTTTCAAAGTTCAAGGATGTCTACCAGAAAGTGTTTCGCGAATGACATAACCTACATTCCTGACAATATTTTTGACACTAATAGCAGTTTTGATTCTTATTTCAAGTATATTGAAGATAGTTATAGTGAAACTGATGAGAATTTCTCGGATTCCTCTGTGGATAGTGATAAAACTGAAGCTCCATTTTCTATTCAAAATGTTTGACAGTGATGCAAAAATGATATGCAAAGTATTTTACCAGCTTTTCTGTGAAATGCTTACATCATTTATGAAAAGGATAACCCATTGCAAAATATAATTTTCACCTTTTATTACAGTTCCATTTGCAAATTATTCAGCTAAGCATTCAAAAGGAAATTCCAGTGTTTACCCTGGCAGTTGAAGTTCAATTCTCAATCCCATGAGAACAATTTGCAAAGAAATGCGAATTTGGTGAAAGATTGCAAAGTAGGACTCTGCCTCGAACCTCATTTAGAAATTTATCATACTAAACTTCATTTCTAATAAATATTTTGCATATTTTCATTAGTATATATGTTTTACCACTGTATTTCAAAAATAAATCATAATTTAACCAAGATTAATTTTCAAAATTTTGCTTTTATATGACTATTCTTCAATTTCAATCATAATAAGCTTTTTTGCCATTCCAAATCAAAAGAAAAGGGAAGATGTTAAGCCTGATGCTATATGAAAAATAAAACTTTAATACTCTGAAACCTGAAACTAGTGTGCTTTCACATACACGTTCCATTGCTGCTGGAAATAAAAAAATAAATTGAGAATCATATGATTGTTAATTGACTTGGGCAGCAAAAGAAATTTCATCACCGACAAATTAGCGCAAAATTTAAAATTGCAAGTCATTAGAAAAGAATGTTTAACAAAATATGTTTGAAAATCAATATGATGACTCAGAAGAATTTGACGTATACAGTCTAAAAGTAAAAACAAAGATCACTGCCTTGTTGAGGAAGTGATTGCAACAGAATTGATTTTACCTATTGCCGTTTGAGGACTCATCCGGTATCAAAAAGAATTTATGACTAGAAGGGGTTTGGAAGTTTCAGATTCTCCAGTTAATGAGACGAACATTTCTGGCATCTGCATAATATTTCAATGATAGTTTATTTATAGTACCAATGATATTTGGATACACTGTGATGGGTAAAGTAGAAAATAATTATACCCGAATTAATACATTGTTTTTATCTACTGGCAAAGGAAGCACATTTGACTTGCAGTCATTTTGGAAAATAAAAATACAACATTTTCAGAAAATGATTTAAATACTATTAATCATTTCAATGACAGTTTGAAATTTTATAATGGTCTATACAACCAAAACTTTCTCAGAAGGAAAAAAAATTACAACTCATTGATAATTTTTTTGTTGCTAAACAAAAATTTCTCAGACTAAAAAAAAAAAGGAAGGGAAATGATTACTTGTATAATGAATATGATAATATAATTAAAGAACAAACAGAAAAAGGAATTATTGAATGATATAAGTTTGTTGAAAATGAACGTAACTTATTATATGTCTCACAGGCTCGTCATACAAGAAGGAAAGGTGACGTCAAGGGTGAGAATAGTTTATGATAACCTCCTAAAGGTCAGAAGGCAATAAATCGTTAAATGAGTGTTTAATATCGGGCCCAAATTTAAATCCTAATCTGTTGGATATAATTTTAAAATTTCACATAAACAAAGTTGCATTTTGCAGACATACAGAAGGCTTTTCACCAAATTAAAATTGAAGACAGGAATTTTTTAAGGTTCTTGTGCTTTGATAATTCTTCTGACAATAGTTTAGGCTTTAAGGTATTTGGGTATTATGAAAAGAAAGATAGTAAAGTTGTTGACATGCTAAGTAAGTCTTTTTATGTTGACGATCTCATCCATGCAGCAGACTCCGTAGACAAAACTTTCTCATTAACAACTGATGAAGTTAAAATTTTTCAAGATGCTTGTATGAACTTAACAAAATTTAAATCAAATTCTGTATATCTTTAAAAAAATAATTGGCATAATTAGTAAGAAAAATAGCTTGAAAAAGAAAATATTAAATGTGCTGGGAATAATTTGGGATTCTGGTGAGGATACATTTAAATTAGATGTACAACTGCTTTTAAAACCAACTGATTGGAAACACGCTACAAAACAAGTTATTTACAGATTGCGGGTAAAATTTATGACCTAGTTGGATTCATTGCACACTTTGTTAGAATAAAATTCCTATTGCAAGAGTTATGGGAATCGCGTATTGATTGGGACACAATGTTTAATTGTGTTGCCATCTACATATCAAGGTTGGAAACTTTTCAGACAGCTCTTGTATAATAAGTCCCAATACTTGATTGGCTTTCATATGTTGCTAGTAATAAAATAAATTAAAGATTTAAAATATCAAAAATATAATTCTTTTTTCCCCACAAATTCTGGCTATTTTCACTCCAACATATATATATATATACTCCAACATATTTAAAACTTAATAAATATTTTCTTTCAATATTAAAATACCAAACAAGTTTATTATGCAATTCTAGTATACTTTTCATCAACTTCATTTGCTACAATTTAAAATGTTCAAACAAATTATGTAAGGTCACTAATTTTTAATTTCTAAATGAAATCAAGAATGGTTACAGGTTAAAAATAATAAAGTGTTAAAAACAAGTATACTTACATTGGACTGACTTAAACGGTTACAAACCTCTAAGAAAAAGAATAAAAAAGTTACAATTATTCTTCAGCCATTTTAAATCAAAATTCAGCTCATATAAGAAGATACTACAGAACTGTTTATTTACAATACACAACAAGTAAAATTTAAATTATATCATAAGCAGAAGTAATGCAAATGTTCAAAAGAAAAAAAAAAAAAATATGGATAGCAAAGCTTTAAATGGGGCAGAATTTTCATATAAAATAAATAACTTAAAAAATTTGTAGACTGCCATATTAAAATAACATACTTTTATCTTTGTTAGCAAAGTACAGTTCTGCTTAACATAACCAATGCAATCCATAAAAAGACAGCATTTTGTGATATAAATTATTCATTATACAGGTCTCTTTTCTCATGCAATTATTTAATCCACTCCCAAGGCAATCCAAAATTATGAAACAATGCATAAAAAAATCCATAGATTATTAAAAATGCTATAAAGGAAATACTAAGAAATTTACTTAATTATAGAAAATATTCAGGTACACCATATGCAATATCTTACAGCTTTCCATTCCAGCTTATAGTGATATAATCCAAGTTTTTCGATTGAAAGTTAAAGACTAAGCTGTCTTCAACGTTCTTGCATCCCGACATTTAATTTTTAGATATACTATTTCCTTTTACAGTTCTTCTATCATTCTTTTTTTAGATGAAATATATGCATGTGTATCATATTATTAATAAGTTCACACTACTTCAGTTACACATAATCTTATATACTTGTCATTGATTTGAAATCATTAACTCCACCACTGGTAAAGATGCTATATTATATGATCTTCTCAATACTTCATTTTACTCATATTCCTTTTCCAGTTTTCCCTATTTCCTTTCCAATTCTTCATACTCAATATTCCTTTTAATTTAAGCACTCCTTTATACTAGATAAATATTTAGACCTCAACATTTCTCACTTTTAGTCAACTATCATATCTCGACACATATAATTGAAAAATTTATTTCTGATATATTTATCGTTTTTTGTAATAAAATCTTCAATGCCTGAAAGAGGGACTGATTTCTTTTTACATTTATGATTCAATTACAGCTAAGCAACATTAACCACAGTTATATATCCAATGCATCATTTACATATGAAATATATCATGCAATGATTATTTGCTATTTTTATACTATAAACATACATCCAGAATCATAAGATTATTCTGAGCATTATATCATTTCGATATTTAATTTTAAGATTAAAGAAAAAGAACAGCTCACCTTTAAATAAGAGTTGTCTGTATCTGGTGTCATGTTCAAAAACACCACAAATAGTTTCCAATAAAACAGGAACAAGAAAAGGATGAGGTTTACTTTTTTTAATTGAATCAGTTACATCTTCAACTGAAAAATCAAAATTTGTTTAAACCATAATTTTAATTTAAATACTAAATAATGAATGGATTTTCCATATATTTACCATTTGATTCAATAATGAAATAAATATAGTTTCTGAGAAATTTAAATATGTACTTATCAAACAGGAAATTTATATTAATTCGATGTTATTAATATTAACAAATGACTACATGATAACCTTTTACACCAAAGGAATAATAAATGATCCACTGATTAAAGTAATAACTTACATTTTTAAAACCTAAAATGCAAAAAATTACCAAATGCTTTATACTTAATAATAACGTCTTGTCTCAATTATATTTCATTTCAAATTAAAAAGTTCAAAACATGACTATACTTACCATATTATCCACATCAAAGACATTTACTTGCTATAATTAATAATTCACAAATTATATAAGGAAATGGTAAGCAACTGGAGAGCTAAGGCCATATTAACAATATTTATTATTATGGAATGAATTTCTATGAATTTGAACACCTTTTTATATTTCTAACCTTTTCAGAAGCAGCTTCAAATATTACCTAATATTAATACTGCTAGAAATTTAAACTCAAGTTTTTTTTTTTTTATATATATATATATTTTTATATATATATTCTAAACATTCAACACATATATACAAAATAACATAAAGAGTAAAATAACATCAATGGTTCTGAAACATAGGTTTTCAAGGTACAAATTTTGGTTTTTCACTCTATTTGCATAAAGCAGCTTTTTATTTTAAGACGTCTTGAAGATTTCTGTTTTATACTGGAATTTTACAAAAATAAATACAAACATATTACAAATTGAGAAAACAACAGCTATCTTCACAATTTTATAGAAAAACTTACCAAGAAAATCCTTAAGCAAACTTTCACGGTTATTTCTCAAAAAGTAAAGTTGTTACAAATGCAAGATTCTAATAAATGAAAATTTATTAGAACATTCCCATTACCCAATCACTTCATACACATAAAAACTTATAACAATCCCAATTTCAAGAGATTTGGTTATAAACTTGCCATTACCCTAGTCTAAACCATCTACAAATTGTTACCATCAGACAAATTGGTTATTGCCAACACAGATACTTCAGGTATATATATTGTCCCAATCAGCAATAAAGATACAAACACAAATACTCAAAGATTATATATTATCATTCATTCTAAAAAAACTGACAACATACTTCTTCAAAAATTCTAATAGATATGAATAAGTTTTGAACTCAAAGGTTTTCATTCATACACTCAAAGGTTTATGAATGAACAAACCTTTGAGTTTATATATATATATATATTCCCAAATTCCATAAAACACCATTAAAATTTAGATTTATAGCTAATGGAACTAATAATTACAAGAAAAATATAGACTATTATTTTTTCAATGATTGTAACACTAATCATAACTATTGCTGGATCATTCATAATAACACTCCTGTCATTAATACCATTCATACCATTAACATCCAAAACATTAACTGCTATGATTTTGAAAACTTATATACCTCACTTCCTCTAGAAGAAATCTATACCAGTCTACTTGATCTACCAAAACTTTTCCCTAATATACTCAATATCATGACTCTTAACAAATGGAAAACCTACCTAAAATTCACACTTTTTCATAACTACATCAAGTTTCAAAATCAACTTTTTAAACAAGTCAGAGGATTGCCAATGGGCTTACATTCCAGCACCTCGATCTGTAATATCTTTTTATTTGTCAAAGAATTTAACTTCCAAAAAAATCTACAACCACAAGAGTTAAATTACTACAAACACACCTACAGATTTATTGATGACCTTATTACAATTAATAATTTTGGTAAAATTGAAAACTCCGACATTTATCCGAATTGTCTTAAACTTAATAAAACTAATAATTCACAAAATAGCATAGACTTTCTAGATCTTCAAATCATTAACTACAAAAAAATTTTACTTTTTGACAAAACAAGAAACTTCAATTTCAATACTAACAAATTAATAAATTGGAACTCCAACATATCCAAAAAAGTAATTAACAATACTATAATTAATCAAATACAACGAATTAAAACTATATGCACAGATACAATAGATTTACAACGCGAAATTTTGATCCTTATCAAAATTCTCAAAAATAATCTAATTCCCTTTCAATTTATCAACCATTGCCTTAAAAGAGCAGGCGTTAAATACTCACTCTAAATCATTTAACTGATAGGGATATGATAATTTATTCCTAAACCTGAGAAGGCGGTATAAGTTGGATGACTGTCAGTTGAAAGATTTGTATATAGTGTAATTACTCAATTGTATATATTGTAAAAAGCTAATTGTCTTCAGACATATACTGTTACTAAAAAAATGGGCCTATTTCCTGCCTTTAGACTGTCTACTAGCTCTTGGATAGCGAAAATGCCTTTTTCCTTTCTTAAATTCTTAATCATTGCGACACGACAATTAGCCAGAAATTAATTAATTTCCATTCACTAGTATTTTTAAAAAAATCTTAACAGACGGTCTCTCTCAGATAAGAACTCCACAAAATACATCCCTCAAGAATTCCAAGTCCCACCCACTACCATAAATTTCTTCACCCAAGTCTTACCGACTGATATAATTCAAAGCCCCTACTGCCGCTAAGAATTTTCGGACACCCTACACTTCTGAGTCAGACACGAAGAGAACACACTGCCAACTCCCCCACTAGAAAGAATGTAAGTTACTTAATACCTTTCTGGCCTTTATATCTTCATGTACATTCACTGATCTTATTTATATTATTTTCTATTTTATTTTTATTTTTATATTATTTTTATGTTCTCTTTGATTTGTTTTTGCAAAGTTTGCATTATTTATCTTTTTTATAATCTTCTATGTTTATTTCAACTTTACTTTGCTTTCGATTTCATAATGACAATTTCCAATGTTTAATTTCTACAAATAATATAGTACTCAAATACATAAAGATGATAGTGTCGGGGACGATTACTCGAGTTTTACAAGATTTCTCTACAGTAATTGATTTTTACTCCAAATTGAATTGACTAAAATGCTTCATGAGAATCAGTTCTTTTGAGTAACAACTATTCGCGGAAATATTTGGCCTGACTAGAATTGCCGGTTTGGCTTTAACTTATAACTCGAGTAAAGACGAAACACTTTCATATTTACGTATTTTTCTATCAATTATTGATCATTGAACGGGAGTTGGTTTGTTCCCCTTGAAAAGTCAACTAATTTCCGATCAATGACAATAATTACATGTTTTAATTTTTACTTTTACAATTGTAATATTATTCTTCGTGATGATTTAACTCCAGTCCCCGTTAAAACATTATTAACATTTTGCTTTCAAATTACTTCAAAACATCTTTCAAAATATAACTTACCAGTATGGATGCACACTTTTAAAATAATTCTACTTTAATTAAACTTAGGAGATAATATAATCAATTAATCAATACTGGTTTAGGAAATAAATTATTATTAACTAACTTTGCAGCAATTGCGCAAGTAATAATAACTTGTATTCGCAAAGGATTTTTCACAACTATATATATATATAACTTGAATAAGTGAGAATATGATTTATGAATTGCTTGGAATCGGAACCCTAATTGTTCGAGTCAGTTTCTTAGCTTATTTACTTACATAACATAACTACGATGCTTTTGCTCATGGCGTAGTTTTAGATCATATTTACCTTTATTTTCCTAGACCTCGAAACTGATTATGCATATATAAAAGCACACAAATAGATATATGGATATCAAACCCGCATATATATTGCTATAAAACTTGCAAATGTGAGTATTTATATAATCAGGAAACCATGCATCATATCTTCATTCCTTTACCTTCCGAAAACACAATTACTCTCAAAATTAACGCCTGTGACGGTAAATTAAATAAGGAAAAGTAAAGCTTTGATTTACATTAACTTGGGCATGAAGATAGCGACACATTTATGCATGAACGAAAACTAGTAATATGTAGAGAGTAGAAAACAATAATTTATGTATTGTGACGTAAATTACCTTATGGCGTCACATTTCGGCCATTAGTCAATTAATGTTTAAGGCTAAAAACAAGCAAAAACTAAATTAATGAGATATTTTAAGGTTTCGAGATTGATGACCTTCCATTGATTCAACATCTAGAAAACTATGAGTATGAATTGTCAAGCACAAAAGATACCTCTACACCCTCTGCCAAACAGTTCATAAACAAATTGCACATCTTTGGTTAAATAATCCTCCGAATATCCACACTAAATAACTGAATGGAGCAAGGACAAATCATCATCAAACTCTAACACAAATTACTAAAACACCATGTTGCAACACACTTCCCTTCCACACATCTGGACACTGAGTTTAAATATGGAAAAACCTGCAAAAAGCAACGAAAGATGATAAACTTGATCAAACCATCCATTTCATCTGCAGTTGATGAAGCAGACAGCTCACCTGTGAAAGCTTTTACTATGTCTAAACGTAGTTTCAGTGAGTAAACCTAGAATATTTTCTTGTTTTTAACCTCAGTTTTTGATAATACAAAAAGCAAATTGATTTTTATCAGCTAATCAGATACATAAATATGCATAAGCATACTTTATTTTACATTCTTAACTTTCTGCATGGCAAAATTCCTCCCTGTTTTTATTATACTAGTGCAAAGGCCAAAATACAGATATCCGAGCCTCCCAAAAATCTTCCTTTTCGAGAACTTTCTTTTTGCTCACACAGTATAGAAACAAAAAATATAATGCTTAAAAAAAGAAAAAAAGACACTCCCCTCCCCCCCCAAAAAACAGTATCAAATTAGATTTCTTTGGCTGAGAAACATAATTTTCCATGTTAATAATAAATCATCCCACATGTTGTTTCACCTTTAAATATCTGTCAGCAAGTAAGCATTTTCATATTTGGTCCTTAAGTAACTGTGGGAAAGGGCAGAATTTTTTATCTTATCTGCCTTTGTATATTAGAGAAGCCTAA